ATACAGCTCACTAAGTAAAACGTGATGCGTGAATGTGAAAAACTTTTCCGTTGTCACGTCCTCGGTTTTACGCCTCATGGACTGGCCAAGTCAATCTCCAGAACAGGAGGCCAGACCAACGAGCGTAGTGCGTACGGCGGACTTCGCTCGTGTGTGCTAGCCTCGTGATTGTTGGCATCTTGCTGCCATCTCAGTCATTCGTTCATCAAAAGTCCGCGGCACAACCTTCGAGCCACGCAACTTATTGTCAGACTCGCGCTCATCACAACTGCCGGACTTTTCCTTGACGATCAGCGCGCTCGTTCCTTTCGCGTTGCAGGTCTCGGACAAAATTGGGGTTGCAGATTTCATCTCACAGAGCTGCGTAACCATCTGTCCACGATGACAGATGAGATGTCGGAAAACTTCAGACGAATTTCCAATAGAGTATACTTTGTCTCATTCTCCGTTTGATCACGGACGGGATACCCCTGAGGTGCTCTCTGCTCGCTATGTGCCGAATCGCTACTACGGTGCAGACCATATAGCTGTCTTTTTTAACCTAACCAGGTGAGAAAGAGGCAAGTTATCCACTGGCGTACGCGCTGGTTTCATCGTTGGCGGCAGACGCACGTGAGTGAGATCTTCACAGCACACTGTTGTTCTCGGTGATTGAGCAGGACAAGTCCCGTGGTCTACTACGATAGTCGGAGCACAGCCCTCTCCAACACCGTTCGCCAAGATATCCAAACCCTTCTCATGGTAAATCCATTACAGTTTCCAGATTGGACTGTTACATACTGGTTGTGTCTCTAGGCACCCCTATGAGTCGTCCTGGGCTCTGTCCAATTCGTTCCTGAAATAAAGATGTATACAGGGAAGATTTATGATTGAATACGATCAGTGCTCGTTATTTGGCGGCGGTTTGGCGGGATGAGTGCCGCCCTGCATGCTGTGGAGACCGGTGCGAGCGTGCAAGTGAATGTCAAAGTTTACCCACGCGCTCCACAATGCGTGCGGCCGCACAAGGCGGCATTAACGCAGCACTAGGCATTGAAGACGCGTGTGTGTGCACGCTATGAGAACTGTCATGGCAGCGGACATCTCTTAGGCGACCAGGATGCCATCGAAATCCTTTGCGATGAAGCATTCAGACGTCTTCTCTCTCTTGACATTGGGGGCGTCATCTTGACCGCAACGAAGGGGAAACATCCACCTGCGCGGGGCGTCGGCGGACCGACAAGAGCCGCACCTGCCATGTGTCGGCGACATGACTGGGCAGCCATTTGGCACGTCATGTACGCGCGACGGCTCCGAGGACGTCAAGTCATACGATGAATGTTCGTGACGACCTACTGCTCATGGAGGATGGCGCATGCTGTGTGCCGTGCGATGAGATAACGAGCGGCAAGTTGGAGTCTTTTAGGCTGAAGGCGGTCATTATCTGCACCGGCGCGCTGTGACGGGTCTACGAGCAAGTACCACTGGGCTGATCGTGACGGGCGATGGGCTTTCTTTCGCCTCCGCGTGGTGCACGCTACCATGTACATGATATGGTGCAATATCAATCACCCGACTCGCAACACTCCCCGCCAACGGCTTTCCTTTCATCACAGAGGGGCGCGCGGCGAAGGGCGCGTATCTGTCGCTCTGAACTCCGAGGGCGAGCGGTTTATGCAGGACGATACGCTATGGGGCGCACCGACATTGGAGAAAAAGCCTCGCGCGCTGTTTGTCTCTCGCGCCGAAACGATCGAACTCCATGAAGGACGTGGATTTGATGGCTGTGTACTGCGTCGATTGCCGACACTCAAAGACCGTATTTAGAGGCTTTCATCAAATTTCTCTAACTCGCAATCGATTATGTGTGTGGACATTACGCAGCAGCCCCTACCAGATTCGACAGGGATGCATTATATGATGGTGGCATTAAGACGATATAGACGGGCGCTGCTATCGACATAACGGGGACGGTTCAGAACCACTGCCCGGCTTGTACTCGGCAGGTGAGCTGCCTGTGTTTCGGCAATGGGGCAATCGACTCGGGGGCACAGCCTGCTTGACTGTGTTACATTGGTCGAGAGCAGGAGCACGGGCGGCAGAATATGCTAGAAGCATTAACTCCGCCAATATCTCCGAGGCGGTCATAGGGGTGGAGGAGCAGAAAATCGGTGACCTTTTTGCCCGCTCGACGAACGAGCGTGCCCCCGCCCTGCGGCTGGAAATGGCGAGATTATGCACACCTTCACTGGTGTGTTTCGCGAGGAGCCGGTTTGCTTGAGCGCAACGAGAATCCACGCTGTCCGTGAACGTTTTCAGACGTCTCTGTTCACGACAAAGGTAGAGTGTTCAATACGATTTGCTAGCTGTCCTCAGAGTTGGACTTCATGTTCGATTGTGCTGAAACGATTATCGCTAGTGCCCTTGCACGCAAGGAGAGCCGTGGTGCCCACACCCGCACTGACTATCCTGACGGGATGACGAGAACTGGCTCAGCATGTGCTGTCTACCATACCCCGTGACGGAGCCGCAGTTACCTATCTGCCGTTGACGATTACGAAATGGCAAACCGGAGGCGCGGAAATACTGAGATGTAGTATGTAGAGCGTAGAAAGCGGGAATTTCAGTAGACGTTTAGACGCATACTCATCACGCAGAGGAGATACAGAATGATACAAGCTATTGAAATTACCGTTTACGACCCCAGACAGCCAGGAACCGCATTATGATACCTATGAAGTGAAGGAGTTGCCTGATTTTGCAACCGTGCTGGACGCGCTCATCAAGTCCGCGAAGATATCGATGGCACTGCGGCATGCGCTGTTCATGTCGCAGTGCAGTTTGCGGCTCATGTCCTTTCGGGTCAATGGACACGCGAGTTGGGATGCAAGACTAAAGTCTCAACGCTTGCACCTGACGGTGAGGAGATTCGTGTGGAGCCGATGGGCAACATGAAGGTGATTAAAGACCTTGTCACTGAAATGGAGGTATTCTGGGATAAATTGAAACAGGTGAAGCCGTGGATTGAGACGGTAGGAGAACCGCCAGAACGGAGTATCAAGTCCCCCACGCCAAGATGGTCGAACTGCAACAACCGATGAACTGCATCATGTGCGGCGCATGCGTAAGCGATTGCACGGTGCGAGGAGGATTCAAACTTCTTAGCTCCCCGGCGCTGGCCAAAGCGATACCGCGTGGTTGGAGTCCACCCACGGCAAGCCAAAGAGTGGCTGACAAAACTGAGTGAAGAGGGCGGTATCTGGGATGTGCACACGGTGTCTCGAATGTTGGAGGTCTGCCCGAATATGTCGCGCCGAATGGACCCTAATTATCAAATTGCGTGAGAAGGCAATCGAAGAGGGGCTGACCGACAACATAGGCGCGAAACATGTGCTCACTCTCACCGAAAGCGTAGCGCATACCGTGTGCTTGATGAGCGCACACTACCGATAAAAGCAGCCGGGTTGGGGTTGGGCTGTTAAGAACGCAGGGTTATCGCGATCAAGCAACCCTGAAAGGGAAAATCAAACCTCTGTTGCCCGGTTCACACCCTTCAGTGACAGAGGTCCAGGATGTCGGCGCATTCATAAGCATGGAGAGGGAAAAAAGGAAGTAGGGATCTCGAAGAAGTTCACGATTCGGTTCACATGATGAGAAAGGGACGCTCGAATTCTGAGAAATTTTTGAGAATTGGAGACCACCTACCCGATTTACTGCTTTTCAGCATATCGAAATTGCGGTCCCATCAGACTGGAGCGATCGTAGGGTGTAAGTCTGTTGTCAACTAGAAATAAATTAAAGACGAATACATTGTCAAGCGTGTGAGGGGAAGCAAGGAAGAATTCGCTGTCTGTTTTACGCATATACATATTACACTTAGGTTTCACGTTCCAATCACAATTGATACGGGAGGATTGTTTGTAATGAGAATTGCCTACTTCCCTGGCTGTGTTGCCAAGGGAAACTGTCAGAACTGAACCAATCCACCAAAAGATTGCGCCCTTACTCGGTATTGAGTTGGTCGAACTAAACGGTTGCACCTTGCACCCGGCGCGGGCGTGCTCCAAGCGCAGAATCCGGTGCTTGCCGACACATACAACGCCAAGACCCTTGCGCTCGCGGAGGAAGGAACTGGACCTCCGCTGATGACGGTCTGTTCGACCTGCATCGGTTGTTTACGCAAGAGCAATAAGAAACTGTCCGAGGACGAGGGCTACGGGCAGAGGTCAACGCGGTGCTCAAGCCAAGTCCGGTGGACACGAGTATCATGGTGGCGTAGATGTCACCACATTCTCTATGTCCTTATCAAGACCTCGGTCTGTGACAATCTACGCGGCATGGTCAAAAAAGCCGTTGACCGATTTGCGATCGCACCGTTTTATGGCTGCTACATTCTGCGTCCTGCAAGCATCATGGGGATTGACAACCCTGACAATCCCACTTCGATGAACGCGTCATTGAAGCGTTGGGTGGCACCCCAGTAGACTACTACGGCAAAACACGCTGTTGCGGTTTTCCCTCGGGCTTGAGAACGAAAGAAGCATCATTCAAAATGGCTGGGAAGCATATTGGCGAGGCAAAGGACAACGGAGCGGGACTGCATGGTAACACCTTGTCCGCTCTGCCACATGAACCTCGATCTCCTGCAGCCCGGTGTCAGTCAGGTAGTTAAACGTCAACTTGATATGCCGGTGCTTCCACCTGCCGCAGATGATCGGTTTGGCACTTGGCTGCCGCAAAGAGTTGGGCATCAGCAAACACATAATATCAGCCCAAAGCGTGCTAGCAAAGTTAGGAACATAAGCGGGTGTTGTTAAGAACTTTCGCAAGATCTCAAGCCAAGCACTGAAATGGCTTGCAGTTATTTCACCAACTCTCAATGAACACTGTACAAGTCCATTGCACAAACTAAGCGAAGATGCGTAGCCTCTGCACACTCGATCAAGGTGCCACAATGTGCAGTGACACGTATCACCAAAAGTACTGGAGGGGTAGATCCAACAAGAATTGAAACAGACAGCATGGGAAAAATCGAGGTTCCGACAGATCGGTATTGGGGGGCGCAGACCCAGCGTTCATTACAGAATTTTAAGATTGGTGGGGAGCGTTTCCCTCGTGAGATGATCTGGGCTCTCGGTATCGTCAAGCAATCTGTCGCCGAAGTGAACGCCCAGTTGGGAACGCTAGACGGAGATCTTGCTGAAATTATCATCAAAGCCACACAGGAAGTCATTGATGGGGCCCTTGATGATCACTTTCCGTTAGTTGTTTGGCAGACCGGCAGGCGGCACCAACCACATTACGTCAATGAAGTGATCTCGAACCGTGCTATTGAGATGCTTGGTGGTGTCCTCGGCAGCAAAGAGCCCATCCATCCCAACGACCACGTCAACAAATCTCAATCGACCAATGACGCTTTTCCAACGGCTATTCATGTTGCTATCGTTGACCGTATTCACAATCACCTGATTCCCGCTGTGACTGCCCTGCGCGATGCCCTCTCAGACAAAGCCGAAGCCTTTAAGGATATTGTCAAAACCGGGCGTACCCATCTGCAAGATGCCACCCCGCTGACGTTAGGACAGGTGTTTTCTGGATATGTCACGCAATTGAATAACGCGCTCCGTGCAATCGATCACGCGCTACCGCACCTGTACGAACTGCCAATCGGCGGAACAGCGGTCGGTACCGGTCTGAACACCCATCCGGAATACGCGACAAAAGCCGCCGCAGCAATCTCGAAGCGCACCGGATTTCCCTTCATAACCGCGCCCAACAAGTTTGAGGCACTCGGTGCTCGAGACGCTATTGTTGAGGCAAGCGGTGCCTTCAAAACACTAGCGTGTGCCCTGAACAAAATCGCAAATGACCTTCGCTGGCTGGGCAGCGGTCCCCGCTGCGGTATTGGTGAGCTCCTGTTGCCGGAAAACGAGCCGGGAGAGTTCAATTATGCCGGGCAAGTCAACCCAACGCAATGCGAAGCCATGACAATGGTTTGCGCCCAAGTTATCGGCAGCGACACAACGGTTGCCATTGCAGGTGCATCGGGCAATTTTGAGCTGAATGTGTTTATGCCCGTCATTGCTTTTAACGCGCTCCAATCTATCCGCCTGCTTGGGATGCTTGCGATCGTTCAACGAAAACTGTGTCGTCGGTATCGAGCCGAATCGGGAGAAAATTCAGGAATACCTCAACGACTCACTGATGCTTGTCACCGCGCTTAACCCCTACATCGGCTACGATAATGCAGCATTGGTCGCCAAGACTGCTCATCAGGAAGGCAAAACGCTACGGCAGACTGTAGTCGAACTTAATCTGTTGAGCGAGGAAGAATTTGATCGGGTCGTTGTTCCCAGCCAGATGATTGGACCGAAGTAGAAAACTGAAAATTAACACGAACAAGAAACATCATATTTGGAACATAGATCAAAAAGATATAATTCGTTAATGGAAAATTGACATTGGAGGGAGAAGGATGTTTAAGAAAATCTATGTACCTGTTGACAACTCAGACCATTCCGATGCGAGCGTCAATTTCGCTGTGGAGTTCGCCAAAAAATTTCAGTCTCAACTCGTCGTTCTCACGTTTGTATGCGGCAAAATGCACGATGTTCGCTTCAAACAGATGGAGTACACACTCCCCGAAGATATCAAGATGAAGCCGAACTTGTAGAAGCAGCAGGCCGCGTTCATGACACATTGATATTACAATGGGGCTTCAGTTGATTTCTGATTCCTATCTTGGAAGTCATGAAGAAGAAATGTGCTGAAAATGACATCCCTTTGAAGCCAAATGCCTGAGGGCAAACACTTCATCAAGTGGCAGAGGATATCAGAGCGAGCGATTACGACCTTGTATTATGGGTGCATCTCGGTCTGGGAGCGTTAGGATAGCCTGCTCGGCGGGTCGTTGAACGGGTTGTGCGGCGTCGTATTGAGACCGATACCCTTGTAGTCCGAAATATAGAAGAGATGCAGCGAAACAGAAGGGCATATTCTCGTCGGAATTGATGGCAGCCCCGAATCCTTCGGCGGGATGAAAACAGCAATCGGATGGGCAAGGCATTTAATAGACAGGTTGAGGCGGTGGTGGTTGTCTACGATCCGTTATCTCACTATGTGGTGTTTAATACGTCGTCAATGTCCTAACGAGCGAGCTCCAAAACATTCGATTCAAAGAGCAAGAGCAGTTACACGAGAGTTATCGACACCGGGCTCGCAAAATCTATCATCCATCTGGAAGATTGCCCGGACCATCGCACAAGGAAGACCACAACTACGACCTGAAATTACACATGATTGGATGGCAAAGCGTTTGAAGAAGATTCTTACAATATGCCCGAGAAGACGAACCATGGATGCTGCTGTGCTGGGCGAGAATCGGTGTCACAGCGATCCCGATATGGACATAGGCAGCAAACGAAAACTATGCGACTGCCCGTGTAACGTGTATCGTCAAGCCAGAGTGTACGTCCCAAAGTTGATGTCAGAGCGGAAGAGATGAGTAGTCTGGACACAGGAAGCCTTGGATCGGATGGCGAAGGCACCGCCGACAGTACAGGTATCGCACGCACACGCTGTCACCGTTTTGCCATTGAACGCGGTCACTCTGTCATTACCGAGAGCGTCATTGAGCAGGCAGATGGAAACTTTATGCCGGGCGTCAGGGGAAAGGAGGTGACCAAGGTGCCAAAGAGATCGCAACGCAACGTTTTGGATCCAATGCGATTTAAGACCTACATCTGTGGAGATGTGGCATGCCGCCCGCGACCAGACAGCCCGTGAAGTGCCTGGTCATGTGGAGTGGACAGCGACGAGTTCCAGATGGTCGATAAAGATTCGCTCAGAGGGTTTGCAGATCAGGAGGCGGTGTCAGTGAGGACAGACCTTCGATGGTGTACGCACTCCAGGGTCAGATCAGGCGAAAAAGGCTAGTTGCGGACATGTCCCAGCGGGTATATGCGACGCAACGTCAAAGCGCGAATGAAAAATCGCGCGCGTGTCCAAAAGATCGGTTACAATCACCAACGAATTGGCGATGCAGAGTATCAACGAGAGTATGGATCAAGCATTCCGCTGTCCGTGAAGATGCACCTGACACTGACAGCTGTCGCGCAGTCCCGCGAGTCCCTGATACCTCCCAGGGGAAGCAATTTGAAAGTCCGCTTGAATGGACTCCAGATGCCCGTGAACGGCCTGAACCTGTACACCGCATGGATTTATGCGGGAACATCACGCTACCCGTGTCGAGCAGCGAGGCAGCAGAGGCATGACCTCACGATCAATCAACCTAGATTTTGCAGCGCAGGTGATTGAGGAAGGACGAGAGTCTGGACAATGAGGTGTTGGGGACATATACCAGCACGGTGAACACACTACTGAGAGCGAAAGAGCGATCAACGAGGACGACAGCGAGACGTACAAAATACACCTTGAATGTCAATTTAGATCGGAGGTTGCCAATGCCCCCAGAAATCCTTCACATTTTGCGGAAGGAAATCCTTGTGTGTCTCGACGGTTCAAGCTACTCTCAGGCGGCGGTCGAATATGCCACCCAAATAGCCTGAACATAACGCATCGCTAACGGCATCGGCGTAATTGATCTGCCGGGTATCCAACGTTTCAAGCGGTCCCGCGCCATTGGAGCGATGCACTACGTCGACTATGCTGACCAGCAACACCTCCAGGAGACGCGGGAGCGTAGTAAGTGGAGTCCTTAAAGACTTTGGGAAAAACTGTCAGGAGGGAAAGAGATCCGTACTCATCATTCAGAGACAGGCAGCCCATTTCGGGAAATTATCGAAGAATCAAAATTCCACGATTTTATTATAATTGGGCAGAGACTTTTTCGGTTAACATCAAACACGAACGGGTAACACCTTGGATCGAATCCTTCATAGCGGGTTGACCCCAGTCCTAGCAGTCCCCGATTCTGTCAGGCAGATTAAAAAAGTGCTCGTCGCTTACGATAACAGCGTCCAAGTTACCAAAGCAATTCAGATGTTTCTCCTGCTTCATATCTGGAATCAATGTGACATCACTCTCATGAATGTCAACAATATGCAAGTCGTGGAATACAGTTGCTCGCTAGGCTCGGCGATTACTTTCGTAGATATGGAGTACAGACGGAGAAAGTCCAATTGAGAGGCAGGGTCGATGAAGCCATTCGTCCTACATCCGAGAATATGAAATGGTCTGCTTGCATGGGGGGCGTATGGGAAACGAAGCGTATCGGAATTCGTCTTCGGCAGTGTAACCAATCCTTGGTGGAGCAGGCGGGGTATTCCGTGTTATCTATCATTAATCAGAACCTATGAAAACCTTACAAAGACCTCCCGCCGATGGCGGCTCTATATCGTTGGACAAGTAACGCAGCAGGTCAATCGCTTACAACAACGACTTGCGTCAATCCGCCACACTGTTGCCATCATGAGTGGAAAGGGCGGTGTGGGTAAGAGTTCAGTTACGGCAAACCTTGCTTCGGCACTTGGAGTACGTGGGCACAATGTTGGTGTGATTGACGCTGACATCAATGGTCCCTCATGCTAAAATGATGGGGGTGGTGACGAGGCCACAGCACATGATTATGGTGCTGATGGTGTTAAACATGCCATCAGTCCGCTTGGAGTCAAGGTGGATGTCGATGGATCTATTCCTCAAGGATGACGAAACCCCAGTCCTCTGGGAATCACCAAACACAGAAGGATGCTGTTCACTTGGGCGGGGGAGGGACAATGGAAATGAGTGCCCTCCGTGAATTTCTCTCCGATACAGAATGGGGAACCCTTGATTATCTGTTGATAGATCTTCCACCCGGCGCAGATCGATTGCCAAATCTCGTCGATCTCCTGCCGAATCTTGGCGGCACACGTGTGTGTCACAATCCTTCCGTTCGCAGCTGTTGTCAAAAAGTCGCTGACAGTGGCAAAGAAAATGCTCAACGCACCGGTGATCGGCATCGTCGAAAATATGGCGGCTTATGTGTGCACCGATTGTGGCAAGACTGAAAGACCTGTTCCCATCGGGCACACGGAGGAGATGGCACGCCAATTTGACATTCTTCTACTCGGCAAGATACCTTCGATCCGCGGATACTCTATTGCTGCTGCGGACGACGACGAAGGCAGCGTGTTTGTTGATTCAGTACGGAGAGATACTCCGCGAAGGACGACGTTTTTACGGCATTACGATGATGTTGAAATTCGGACGTTCTTTGAATAGAAAATGTAGACATAAAGGAAGTCAACCAATGAAATAATTCTTATGTCTTGAATGTAACACCGCGATGCACATTAAGGAAACAGCGACGCCGGATCAGGCTCGTTGACGGCGATTTTCGAGTGGCCAGATTGCTTCGTGAGTTTGCAATGCACATGAACCCGTGGAAACCCAAATGCTGAAATACCTCGATGTTCAGCTCGGTGGCAAGAGCGAAGCGGCGCAGCCGACTGAAATTGCGAAATGTGATATAGTTATTTAGCAATGTTATAATTGATAACCTTCCTGATATTGAGGCGGCTTGATAAAGGGAGCAAAGCGAGTATGATCTAAGCGAACTCCAAGGATTGGAGATAAAACTGTAAGTGATTCGATGCTCACGAGTGCTAACTTCAGTTACACAACCCACCTATACCACCAGATTGGAAAGATCATGAGTAAGCAAGCTGAAATCGCTACGACCGAGCCATTGAATATTGGAAACAAAATCGCTTTGACGAGGCAATTGCTCAATGGGAAGAAATCGCTCGTAAAGATCCGATCTTGCGGAGATATACATACCTTGGAAATGCTTACATGTACAAGGCAAAATTGAAAGTGCGGTCGACGCATTTAAGCGGACGCTATCTATCGATCCTACCCTGCCTGACGCTACAACAAGTTAGGAATATCTGTTAAAGCAAGGCAATGCAGGACTGGCGTTCGCCTGTTGGAAGCAAGCATTAATGATTAATCCGCGACTTGACAGAAGCACGCCGTAATATGGATTAATCCAGAAACGTTCCCCCAGTTTGATGCAGAAGACGAGTACCTGCTACCAACATGTAACAGAGGGCGATGCAGAAGGCGATGAAAACGCAAGCATTGAGAATAGCGACGACCTACCCCACATGGAAAAATAAAATTCGTCAGGGTGGGGCGCATTCCGAAAAAAATAAGCGGCTTCCATGATAGGAGAGTAATCGAAACAAGATCTAATGATCTGGCTCGATTTTTTAAGAGCAGCAGGGGTTCTCAGCTAGTTCTCTGCGGTACCTACATTGTTTTGTTTAGCCAATAAAAAAAGCCCTCAATTACTGAGAGCTTTCTCCCGGTTTTACTTTTTTTATATAGTATTGTCAGCTTTATCAGCCTTAAATTTTTCTGACCTCGGCTGGAGCCCCTTTTCCCCTTCACAACATTAAACTCGACCTCTTGTCCTTCATCAAGGGTTTTGAAGCCATTACCGTCAATGTTGGAATAGTGGACAAAGACATCTTGACCTTCGTCGGACGATGAATCCGTAACCTTTTGGTCACTGAACCATTTACTCGACCTGTTGCCATTGGTGTGTACCTCCTTTCTTGAAGATCAAAACTGCAAATGAAAATAAGCCTTAGCGCTAAGAGGTACAAATACAGCATACAGCCGGGGAAATGCTTTATTTGAACCTAACACCACTTCTTTAATTCATTGACAGTTGCAATGTAATTATACTTGATTCAAAGCAAGAATGCAAGAAAGAATTCTAATGAAAAATATTTAACAGTGGATTTGATTCTTGAATTTGCCGATGCAAGAATACTTTCCGAAGGTTCTATTTCACTCATCTTTTTGGGTTGAAGGTCCTATCAGATTTTATATTAAAGTTCATAATTAATTTGGACGCTGTAGGAGGGGTTTTCCACCCCGATTATATGGACACCTCTGATTTCGCAGGCGGAACTTAGAATGTTCCCCTCCCACAAGGCGGCTCTCCTACAATGCGTACTGGAGAAGCGTCTATTTTTTTTAGAAGTCCCATATTTTCCTAATTTTGTACGTTTGGGAAATACAAAGCCGAGTGCGTTCATGCTGGCGGTTAATCGAAGAAAACTTCAGGCACCGCCTCTTCACATCTCCCCTTCATCGATGAAGAGGATATCGATCTGCTACACCCCAACCCACACCTCTCCCGTCTCACGCGCGAAACCGCCTCTCATGTGTGACAACCAGCATTGTCATGCCAGACGCAGCTAACTCACGCATGTACATCTATACAAAAGACTTCGTTATCATTTCGGTCCAGGGCACTTGTTGGTTCGTCGTAATAGCATACTTTTGGGGTGCATTGCCAAGCCCTTGCATTGCCACGACTGCTGCTGTTGCACCTCCCGAAATATGTGCGGGAAATTTGGTGTGAGCATGTTCTTCAATCCAACCCGCTCTAATAGCGCTAAAAGCCTGTGCCGATTCGCGCTTCCCTTTGTGAGCTTCTCACCAGATAGGGCTACCGTTTAACAACATTTGCAGACGCGTCAGGTGGGGAACAGGTTGAACTGTTGGACGACATGCGACTAAATACCGACTTCTTGGCAGGATACGCTCTATATTACGAGGTCATCGCTGAGTTCGATACAGTCAACGATAATTCTACCCCTTTGGGTGTTTCCAGACGATTTATGTACGGATGAGGTGGACTGCGAACCGAGGTCCGCATATCACACCATGTTCCCCTCTCTTGAACGGTCGGCTAGTAATCCTTGAGTACATGGAAATCGTCAAACCATTTCTGTATGATCTCACAGATAATAATTGAATCATCTGCGGTGTTTTCAAGTCAGCCACTTCTTTGTATCTCCCGTCCTAGTGGTTGCGCGAAGCAATCTCGTCCGCTACCGACTCCCAGGGCACCTTCAATTTGTTGACTGATATAAGACATTGCGTAACTAAAAACCAAATAGATCGCCGCATCAAAACACGTGCAACGATAGACTTCAGTTGTACACCAGTCGGGGTTTGCAATTACCGTTTGGCTATACTCATAAGTCTAGCAGTCCATGACAGTGACACGCGATGTATCTTAAAGAGGCTGATGAATCTGCCGCACGATTGCCGGGAGTAACAGAGCGAAGCGCTGCGGTAATATGACAATATACAATCGTACGTGGATAGTTGTAAGCCCAGCGCATGGCGGCTTCGTGCTGTCCTTTCGGAATTCTTATCGCTTGCAACCCTCCACGGACGTTCTCTGCCATGTAAGCTGAGCGAAAAAGTGTGCTACCGAGCATCGCCCGTAGAATTTTGTCAATGCGGAATATCAGGTAGGAAATCGGTCAGCCATTATCTGTGCCATGAACAGACTTGTCACTAAGGGCACGCCGCGTACTGTTTCATATATGCTGTTGAGCCCATTTTATCGTAGGAGGATTGCTCCGCCGTCCGAGAGCCAAAAGAAGTTCCCAATGAAAGGTAGTACGACCATCCCTATCAGCCGCCAGAATAAGCGTTGCAAGCCGCCCAGCTGCTCGTAAAACGTGGGCAAGCTCGCAATCCTGCAGCCATCTCATAGTCCCAGGAACTGAGAGCCTGCCAAGCGCCCAGAACCCAAGCGCAACTCTTTTCTGCCACGTCCCAGAAATAGAGAGCCTGCTAGCATGCCACCCACGCGCCCACAACCGAATCGATTCGAGAGGGCAGCGGAAAGAAGGCTAGGATAAAGTCCCACTCCTCCCCCTATTCCTCCGATGACGATAGGCAAGCCGGAGGGCTGAGACGCGATTCCAGCACGCAACCCAAGAGGAGACCCCAAAGATACTGAACAAAAATCACAAGCCAGTACACGCCATATCTCCTCTCTCGGATAAGCACGACTAGAAAATTTGCAGTTAGCGGTATAACGTTCCATCTGCCTCAGTGACGCCCAGTCAAAATCCCCTTAAAGACGCTACGTATCAAAAACAACGGCTAAAAAGGTGAAAATGGTGCGTTTTACCAGTTGAAAGAGGTTCTCCTTCAGCCACCGTACATGCTTTCGATTCAGTGGTGGGTTAATTACTCTGGTTTGGTGCTCGCTCGTCTTCCACGCGCTTCTTTCCTCTCAGCGTCCTGATTCGGTTAATGCTGTAGTTGTACCAATTCATGTACGACGCCGATGTCGTCCAAGCTGATAAGCAGATAGCTCATCATGATCATTCCTCCAAAAACTGGATGGATTGTCCGTTTGAGTCATCATCGTATTACCGCCGTTAATAGATCTGGGAGCCGATCGCAACAGCTAAACTGGAATTTTTGGTGAGTTCAAATACTGGCTGTGAGTGGGGTGCGCTCACGCGCAAAGCTTGAGGTGATAAGTTTATCGTAGTGTTTGAAATCACTGAGACGCTATCGCTTTAGCAGCCTCATCGTTGTCCCGTCGCCACGGATTGTATCCACTCTCTACCACTTCCGGCTATGAAAGCCACCGGTATAAATAACAAGTCCAATTAAAAGGGCGGAGAAGTGCGGGTGAAAGGTATATCCTCCAGCGAAGTTGAATCCTTCAAGCCGTAGCACAAATCAATTCGATTAAGTAGATGGTCTATCGCGTCAGAAACCATCCCACAAAGCAACCAACAGAAACGCTGGCAGAGCCCACTTTGCAGAAAGCCGGCTGTTCCATCTGTCGAAGCTTCCTCACCGCACAAAATAGAGAATCAGTGCTAAAATGAACCCTCCCGGCGATACAACCAAGCAATCTTCGCGCACCGACGTGTTGAGGTGAGGGAAGATATACTCCGCGTTAGGTTGACTAACACGCCTCGAAGAAGTGTGTGTGTGCTGAACTCTTCCGGACCGAGGAGAGTTGAGGATTACGCGGTATACAAAACAGGTGAGCGTGTAGCAAGAGCGGGATATTACGAAAACATTCGACATAAATGGCTGCGATATGTCTGACCCACCAGTTGCTTGATAGCCGACGCGATGCCGACAACAAGTCCGTATGATTGTGCGCATGCAATTCCTATAATACTAACCCTGATGCAGTGTTTATATCACGCAAACGCTCTTAGATGGTATCCGAAGCGCTCGTAAGCAATCCCTTCAGATATTCCAAAGCCAGCTCGTCATCAAGAAAATCGAGGATTTAAGTCAAGCCGAGACCACGAGTCCTCCGTCAACATATTCGTGTAGAGATACCAGCCAACAGGAGACGCCAATAAGGAAGATGACCTGAAACAGCACGCGCAGTGACTCCGAATGTCCCGCAGGAAGGGATTTTCTCTGAGTACACTTTTAGGTGAGCTATGTTTGTCCTCCAGAGTGTTGTACGGCTAATGAGCGATTTGTGCTTTTTATATTTTATTGGTTCATCATTGATTTTCTATATTTGCCGGCTGATTACCTAAATATCCGTCCAAAATGTATCTCCATTGAAGTGCAAAACTCATTCCAATCTGTCATCTAGGGAATAGCAAGCAATCGCGTCCATTCGTTTTCGTTTGGAAGGCGAGCGACATCTTTATAATTTTCCACAACCCAGTTATCTGCTGCATCAACAATTCCCAAAATTAGAGGTTGAGTCTCAGCTATAGAAAGTAAACCTTCTAGCTGATGATCCAGGTATGCTCTTTATCGGCGTGTAAGCGTTGGATATTCTTGCTCTAAAGTCATTTTCCGCTGCAATCACCAGAACGTTGCGTTGCATCTCTGTTTTGCATCTGCGGCAATGATACGAAGTAAAGTGCCCTGCATGCCAATGGCTGCTGATTGACATAACGCCTAGTAAGAAATCGAAAACATCTTTTGCTGTCCAAGAGCTCGCTCCGTTCGTAGCAATACAGACTAATCGCGCGTGTCCGGCTACATTGCAGTCAGAGCAAAGTCTGCCGCAATTGCGTATTGAAGAGATATTGTTTTACCACCTGACTTACCTGAAGTTTCAAAGGCGGGTTGTTTGCGCGCTTTGCATAAGTCAGTTTTCGCATGTATAGGTGCATTCAATATTCACTACCGAGTAGTCTCTCATATGCGCTGAAAAAAAAGTGTTTCCACTGGCTACAGTAGTTTGAGAGGGAGACGTATATTCAAGTCAATAACAATAAAAAATCCGGACAAACTCAACGCTCGCGCAGGATTTATATGGAGCACCAGCAGCGGTATTTCCAATATCGCCGAAAAGTCACGGTTCAAGAACAGCGACAAAAGCATTTCACAACGCTACCAACTGTTTACACCATCAAGGTTGGGAAGAGCTGCGACTCAAAAAGTTGTTTGTACCAGTGAGCAGGTCCGCCTCGTCCGATACGTGAAAGAACGGGTTCAAGACGTTCAAGATTTATCCCCTTGAAGTGCGCGATTAACGCTGACATAGTTTGTTCAGCCGTGTATGAAGTACTCCGCGCAGTTCAGCTTTAGTAGGCATAATTTGATGATTCATTGAGAAAAAGATGAAGTTGTTGCTGCTTCGGTTCTTTTAATGTCGTCACATGATTCCGTAAAATCTTATGAATGAGCCAACTCCCAAATATAGGTGGAA